ATGGTGTTTTTTTATTTGTCTTCATCTCCTCATTCACCTGGCTCAGATCCAAAACAGGTGGAATACAGGCTATATTTTTAGCACTTTACTGTAATTCGTATTTATTATCAATCTTTCATTCCAGTCAAAACAATTCTCCTATAAATATACACTTATCCCATAGCTCCTACACATCAAGGAACTAGTTCTTCATATTCATGTTATCTAAAAGACAAGTGGTATAATTAATCACAAGGTAGACACTTCATTTAATGTGTAGCTGTCATGGTACACACAGGTTTATCAAATTAAAAAGTAAATAGAATGTAATCTATACATTCTGCAAGCAGAATAGCTAGTAAATGTAAATGTTGTGAGAAAATCTAAATGAAATAAGTTCATCTTCACCTGTCAATCAATGCTTCCGCAAAGAGTCTTCATAGATTTCTTTGTCGAAGGAGTGACTTACAAAGAGAGCAGGGGAACCCTTTTACATGTGGTTCTTCTGCTCTCTGGCATATTAACCACAGTGCTATGGTTACTTCCTAGTCAACACTTCTAGTTGCTATTAGCATATACATATCTATATTTATAGAAAGTGGGTATTTAGAAAAGGTAAAGAATGCCTTGCTCACAATCTATAAGGATTTGAGGTAGGTGGTTATATTTTGTTACGTTTGGACTATTTTTAGATTGCTTTGGACTATTTTATTTACCTACACCTACTGTATATTATTGCAAATAGCACTTTATTGTCATCCCTGTACTTTTGTGACGCAGTCATTTGTTTCTTACTTATTCTTGTTGATCTCCTGAAGGCTTTAGAGGGGATCCCCTTCTTTTGGTTTGCTGCCATTATTTTGATTAATTAGCACTAAACCTGCTCTTTTTTCATATATTGTTGAGTGTCTTGCCCAAGGACACTTACTCGAGAGGTGGTCTGACAAAGACTATTGTGTAAAAATAGACAACATTGAGGGGAGGCAAAATTTACAGATGACGGTCATAGCAGAAATCATAGATATTGCAGAACTTCCACAATTATTTAGTGGACTTTGACCTCACTCCTACTTCATAAGCAAGTAAACCTCTTAAGCAAGTCGACATTCTGGAATTAAAATTAGGAATTTACTGATATTCAAAGTAACAAGAGCACCAGCTAGGCATTGCATGATGTTTTCATGAGTTTCCAAAATCCTAAACAGAGAAATGTAGGTCTTTATCACTACTGAATGAAAAGACTCCTCTACCAGAACTTTGACAGTGTTGCTCTACCAGCCCTGATATTGTCTGTCTAACATGCCATATACCACGAGGAACCCACCATTACGATTATCGTGGATAAAAAAAAAAAAACATTGTAGATATCTATTCATAAACCTTAGTATACATAGAACACAAGGTCACGCATTAAGACTGGAAGAAAGGAGATTTAGTCTAAAGCAAAGGAAAGGATTTTTTTTTACAGTAAGAACAATAAGGATGTGGAATTATCTGCCTGACAAGGTGGCTTTATCAGAGTCTGTACATATATTTAAATAGAAATTGGACAAGTACTTACAAAAACATAATATTCAAGGATATCATTTTTAGCTGCTTGATCCAAGGAGAAATCTGACTGCCATTTTGGGGTCAAGAAGGAATGTTTTCCTAGTTTGTTGCAAAATTGGAAAGTGCTTCAAACTAAGTTTTTCCCTTCTTTTGGATCAAAAGAAAAAACAGATGCGAGAAAGGCTGCACTTGATGGACACATGTCTCTTTTGAACTATGTAACTATATGTAACTGTAACTTGGCCCTACTTCTAGTTCAGATGCTCTGTTTTTCAATGCAGGGTCTGGATCAATAATTCATTCTTTTTATAAATATCAGACTCTATTACCGTGTCACTTTTGTTTTGATTATGGTATTCAAATTTTAATCTACACAAATGTGGAATGTTTAAGCTTTCTAGTTTATATAATGCAACTCCTAATGTAAATAAAAATGTTATTTTTTTAATGGGGGTGTGCGTAGTATTACAGCAATATAAATATTTATTTAACTGCATAAATACTAATTTTGTTTAAAAGCCAGCATTTGTCATCCCAGTTAATAATATTGATAGTACGTTTTGGCACGAAGACACCAACATCTAATGACAGAAACAGGCTGAAAAGTAAGTAATAATAAAGATGACAAAAAACTCTGAATTCATGTGCATTTATTCTGAACGGCAGAATTACACCTTGGAATATACTACCACACATTACTCACCCTTTTACGAATTTTTTTCACATAAAAAATTTTTGGCAAATTTTTTTATCCTGATGGGGTTACTTATTTATTGTTAGAATTGATTTATAAGTAATAATTTATTTAATGTAACATTTGTTTTTAGTGTTACAAACCGTGCTTATCTGGTGTGAAATCTTACACTTGTCATATTACACATGTATATTCTGAAAATTTGTCATGGATTTACAACCACGCAGCACTATTTAGCTCAATCAAGCAGCGTTGGAAAAATATGGTTTTTTTTTAAAGTTTGTTATGTTGCTCTAGATTTGCAAAACAGTTGCGAATTCACCCGAACGTCTGTTTGGTAAATAGATCCAGATACAAACACGTGTTTTATCATGCTTTTGTACATTATGTTTAGAGGATATATATGCACATTATATATATATATATATATATATTAACCCCTTTGTGACGTTTGGACGAGTCATTACGTCCTAACTATAATGGGCTTTACTATTGTTAGGGTATATTGACATGTCCTAATGTTTTGGTGTAAACAGGGAAAAATTCCTCCCACTCCAGGAAAACCCTGGGACTCCCCTCTGTCATCTGGGCAATTCTAGTGGCCCCAGATTGGCAGATGAGTTGACTGATGCTCTCAAAGTGAAAACTATATATAGTCCTTCAAATGGGGATTTAAATCACCATTATCAGTGCTAAATCATGGTTAAATCACTGCTCACGCAAGTTGACCAAGGTATCAATAGATACATGGGACTCTTTTCAGTCAGCTGATGTCATTTTTAGTGGCCCCAGGCTAGCAGATGTGCTGAATGCTGTGCTCAAAGTAAACGTTTCTACAGCCATTTAAATAGACATTTAAATGCCTATTGCTGCAATACAATATGAACAGGGTTAAATCCCTGCTCACACCATGATACTCAGGTATTAATTGATACATAGGACTTCCCTATGTCAGCTTGAGCCACATTTAGTGAGTGCTGCATATAGTTCTTTAAATCAAATAAGAACTCCTCATCTGACCAGATTGCAAGTAGGTGCGGGTATTCTGGGCTGGCACCACCAGGGTCTGAACAGACTCTGACAAGATTCCCAGTGTGTGCCCCATGCCAATTGTGCTGAGAGCTGGACTTTGCCAGCTGCCCAGCACTGAGCACAGTGTAATCAGTATGCCTGATTTTCAGCATTACAGGAGTATCCCTGTAATGCTAAAAACAGCCAGTAGATGGTGGTAACATACCACTCTCTACTGTTTTAGCAAGGAAACATATCTGCTGATATCAGTACTGACATTAGCAGAGGGTCTCCTTACAGTTAAGGTTAGGGTTAGAATTATAGGTAGACTTAGGGTTATGGTAGGGTTAAAGTTAGGGTAGGTAATGTTTAATTCTGCTTTAGGGTTAGGAATAATGCAGGGCTAGGGCAAGTAAATGGCTAGTATCATTGTAAGCATTGGATTAGGGATAGGTTTTGTATATTTGGCATAAAAATCATTCTTGTGTTTTTGCACAATGTTAAATGTATGTTGTGGTTTTTTTTTGCATTTATTAAAAAAAATCACAACTGTACTATACAACAAGCACCACACACATTGCTGCATCAAAACAAAAACGAGGACAGATACTGCTATTTTTACATTTCAAAGAATTTCATTCATTATAACAAAAGCAAAAAACGCTAAGTAAAAAAAGAACACTTCTCAAGCGAGTGAATTGAAACTGCCCCTGGCTTTCCTCCACTTGATGTGATTCTACAGTGGCTCTCATGACAGATTAGCAGGTAGGTACAGTATGTGACCATGTGGTGTCATGCATGCATGTGTGTTCACTTATTCAATTATTCAAGTGAAAAGAAGGCAGGGATTGGTTGATTGGTTGGATTAACTCAGCTAGTTCCTGCACAAAAGGCAGATCAGAACCCAGATAAAACATACAACGAAGGGACATTCCCTCATTTATATTTTTTTTATTAAATACATATTTTAAGACATCATTTTTTTTATATAATGAGTAAAAAGTGATAAACAGATCCTGCTGTTTTTTTTTAAATTATACATTTTGTGTAAAAAAAGTATTTGAACCATTTTATTTATAGATAGAGCTACATATTAATGCTAAATTTTAATACAGTATATATAAAAAAACAAACATACATTAAAACGATTTCTGTAATATAAATAGTATATAGTATTTTTTTATACAACAGCACATACTTCAGCAATATTACATTAATATATGTGTGAAATTACAGATTTTATGGATATAATATGAGAATTCCGGCAATATAAATATGTTATACTAAGAGATGCATGCTCTCTTTTTTTTTTTGGTGTTTATTTTATACATGAACAAAAAGTGTATATTTAGTTAAAATGGCATTACACAGAGAATCCCAACATGTGTTGCCTGTGTTTTTCAATCCCTGAGGTCCCATACAGGCAGTAAATGTGTCAAGGTCAATGTGAAAATGTGAATTGACAAATGGATTAAGGATGGTCCCTGCCAACTAGTTTAACACTTGTTTCATAGTGTTGTGCTTCTGTTTTATGAGACTAAGCACTTCAAATAATGTACATTAGAACAATGTTTTAATCTTTTATATTAATTTAATAAAAATGTTTAGGTACTTAAATGTTTTGGTGCGTAAGGCTGACAGTTTTCTCACGACTATGTCTGCTACCATGACATATAGTTAATTAAATAATTGTTCTTTCCTATTTCTGCTAGTGGGTCTATTTTCCACTTTTCTTGTTTTATTGTGTAAAAGCATAAAATAGTAACACACTAACGCATTTCACCTTATTGACAGGCTTTCTCAAAAGAACACTTTGTATACTTTGTACACTTTGAGAAAGCCTGTTAATAAGGTAAAACGCGTCAGTGTACACTTTGGGAAAGTCTATCAATAAAGTGAAACAGATTTGTGTGTTACTCGTTATGCTTTTACATTTCATTTTCAGTAAAATTAGTGCTTTTATATACCTATTTTTGGATCTTCAACCAGAAGACTGTATCAGCAAATTTCTTGGTGGGGATTATAACACCTACGCCATATGGCTTGAGCAAACCCACTTGTTTTCTCTCCACTTTTTTTAACTTTTACCTGTTTTAACAGTGAACACTATATTTTTATTTCTGTTTCATTTATAAATCTCTGGTGAGAATCTGCTGCTACGTAAACAAATAGAGTTGGAACCCCTGTACACCTATGTGAACTACCCCACTACATGTGCATCACTGAGAGCCAATAGTGGGCTCAGTAAATTGTGATTGTACATCCACATATTTTTTTTTTTGTTATATTCTGGTGTATTGAACATATTACACTATATGGGTTCTTTCTGTGTTTGCTCTACACCATATGGAGTTACCCCTTTGGATCAAGACACCAAGTATATGCACAGGCAGGGATTACTTTACTGAGAGGGTAGTGGATGCATGGATTAGCCTTCCAGCTGAAGTGGTAGAGGTTAACACAGTAACGGAGTTTAAGCATGCGTGGGATATGCATAAGGCTATCCTAACTATAAGATAAGGCCAGGGACTAATGAAAGTATTTTAAAAGATTGGGCAGACTAGATGGGCCGAACGGTTCTTATCTGCCGTCACAATCTATGTTTCTATGTCTATGTTTCTATGTTTCTATTATACAAACAAGGTGCATACATTTGGAGCTAGTTATCAAATCCAGAAAACTGTTAGTGCATTACTTTTTATTTAATTCTCCTGAACTTCAACATACTACACTATATATTGCACTTTATCCTCCTTCCTTTTACATATGTGCCTATCTGAATTTTGATTGGAGGACTCCCCTAAAGTGCTGCTCTTCACTCTTTTCTATCTATCTATCTAGCTATCTATCTATCTAACTACAAACATAGATATTTTGCAAATGTGGAGAACACATAAAGTATGTCTGTTTAAGGGCTATATATATATATATATATATTATGTAAAGTTAGAGAAGACATAAGGTATGACTCTCTATGGGTTACTTGGAGGGATATATGTTTCTGCTGTTTTGTAATATCTATTTTTAAATCAGAACACAGATTGTGTTTACTTATCATTTACTCGTGTCATATTTGTATCAATAAGTACCTTTAACAGCTCTGGTAATTATTAAAAACATTCCGTTGAAGGGCATAATTAGGCTTAATTACATAACAGAGTCCTTCTTGCTTTTACGGAACACTAAGGAAATGATATATAGTATTTGATGCAGTTTGCCATTTCACATCTGTGCACACTTGAGTTTCTGAGTGTTTACAGCTTTTCCATACAAACAACTATAGCACACATTCCGAGCTCCTTCAACAAAAGCCCTTCAAATCAATACATACAGAACACAGCAAAAACTGCCATCTGAATAATAGAAAAAAAGGAAAAAGACAAGACGCAAGAATGGAAAACAAAATCAACCATGGATCTATAGCTGAAAATTAAATGATGTACTTAACTATCCTCCATTTATGAAGTACATGCGATTGAGTATTTACGGAAACTGTTAAGTGCATCGATTTTCTACTTTGTAGAGCCAGGTATACCTTAGAGTTCACTATTAGCAATGAGAATCAAGTTTGAAAGCTATAAAGAAACAGATGGACGAAAGAAAGTATCTTAACAGATGTGCACATGTACAACATATTTCCTTAGTTTTTTCCATTCCATTGGGATTACCCAAGTTACAGTATTTCTTAATCAGTCATCTTAACAATTTTGGCAGATGTAGTAACACAGCAACCAGATGGGACTCAAACTTATCTTCAATTTCTATGTGTTTACCTTGTTTTGCGTAGATCACAAGCCTGGCCGGTGATTTCTGGTTCTCCTGGTCCCTCGGATAGCCCAACACATTTAATTACTGTACAGTTTGAGCAGGATTGTCCCGTCATAGAAAAAATAGGGCCAAGGAACATAATAGAGTCATAAGAGATCAGGCTATGAAGGCCAAAGAACTCTAAGCTGACATCAGTTTCTTAGTTTCCAGGGAATTTAGTCACAATGTTAAAGCAGGATATGACATCATGCTACACTAGCGGGAATAATGAAACTTCTACCTCTGTTATTGCATTTAATATCTCATTACGATTGTTACGTCCAGGTAATGCTTTGGTTACTTTTTCTCAGTTTTCTGTTAGAGAAAAGGTAAATCTGGCTACAAATCTTTTATTGTGCCGTTCCATTGGATTTTTTTAAAAAAATGCATTTTCATAGGCTGAAATAAAACAGATATGTCTGATAAAAAATTAAAAAAAAAAAGGAAAATTAAAAACAGACATACTTTTAAATCTCTATTATTAGTGTCATCCTTATTTATTATGTAGTATTTAATTATGCAAAAAAACAAAAAAAAACAGAACATATAAAATGTTTTTTTGAAGAACGGAAAAGTTCTGCATGTACGTCTCTCAAGAGCTTTTATTCAGAAAATATTTGATTGTATTTCACATGAATGATACCTGACAAATGCATTTCTTTATTTTTTTCAGGTACTACAAACATAATCTATCATTAACATTTACCCTTTTTTTATTCTCTTGGTGTTGCGTTTTATTAATTTTTAAAAAAGCCTCAACATCCCAGTCTGTGCAGACTCTAACGATTTACAGAAAATAAAGGACATTAAGAAACTAGTGTCCTTATATTAAAGGTGTTTAATGTCTTTTACATTTAACAAATTGTCTCCAGTAATACAAAAAAAAAAAAAATTTTAGGCTGGTGTGTTCTCTAGCCAAGAAATACATGTGCACATCACAGGTCTTGTAGCGAAGTCTTCCAGTTCCTGTTTTTTATGTAAGACATTAACATAATTACATATTAGCACTAGTCTACTCTTTAGACTTTGTCCAAGACTTTTATCAAAACAATGTATGAGAAAAATGGTAGAAGAAAACCAAAATAACTAAACAAAAGTGACCAAGTGGTCAAGCAACAATAGTTGCAAAAAAGAAGGTATACAACTCAAAAGGGCCTAAAAGTGATAACAGTGATAAAATATAATATCCACGGTTACAACGTACCATAGTATAACTAAAAAAAGATGTGGGGAAGAGCGCGTGATACTGGGTGGCATAAATGAAACAGAAAAACAAGGATCAAGGAAAAAGGAATTATAATTCATTGAATTCTGAAGATAGTGAATAAGAAGAACCTCACACACACACACACACAAAAAAAATACGACAATAAATTAACTAAATATAGAGGGGTTTTTTTTCCATTAAATTCTTTAGGAGCTAGAGTGTCCATCGTATAAATCCAGTATGCCTTGCGGCAAAGGAGCTCCTGAACTCTTTATCTCCCACCCTGCCCTTCATAGAGTCTCTTTTACTTATTCAATAGCAATGAATCTCAAGGTAGGTAATTAATGTCGTACTTGAAGAAAATGTCTTGCATCAGGGTTATTTGACTTCCTCTCTCTGTAGGCAGTTTGTATTGAAGACTGACGTCCATGGATTCTTTCTCTGATGTTATTAGCGGTTTGACGAATATAGGCTATCCAATAAGGGTAAATAATCTTATAGAAAAAATTGATAAAAGTAAATGTGAATCTTTTCCTTATTTAATACGGTACTTATTTAAGAAGGTAGTGTGTTAGTGTGAAATGGTTTTTGGGTTGCGTGTATTTACAATCATTTGTAGATGCTGAAATGTAGGGAGAAGCACTTTATCATTACAAATACATTTTAAGGTAGACTTATCTGCTCTAATAATATCCTCAGAGGTCGAATTGTTTCTTTGTAAAAAGATAGGTCATTGAGTTAAATTTCGGTTTAAGGGCATTGAGCCAGTTTCATATAAAATCTGAGCTAAAATCTGAGCTAAATCAATAAAGCTTTCTTATAACCTTTAAAAAGAAATCTTTTTCTCATGGTCTGTATTCATTCTTTACATTGATTTAGGTTTGAATTATACTATAAGTCTCTCAAAAGGTAGGTCCAATTTTCATTGACGAGTAATATCTGTTAAGAGAATAAAGACTGTCTGCTACTAGTAACGTGTTTTGGTCTGTTTTTTTTATTTTTTTATATCAAGTAAAATCTATGGATTGGTTCTCAATGTAGGTCTGTAAGGAAGTCATAGGCTGAAATAAAACAGACTTCAGCAGTTTAGATGCCATTCCACTATAAAATAGTTTTAAATTTACAATTCATTATAAAACAGATTTATAAATCATAATAGCAGGGCTAGAAATGTTATATATAAAACTTCTAATCATCTGTTCGTTAACAAGAATGAAAAACTATAATTATATGACATTCATTTACATAATTTAAGATCGTCTATTTCAACCACAGAATAATCAGCGCTGACAAAAATGTAATTGTGTATATTGAAAAACATAGTATAAAACAAAATAAATTAAGAACAGTAATAAAAAGTAAAAAATGTTTGTTTTACAGTTTTAATATTCATGAGTTCATAAATATAAGCACATTTTATACATTTTATAAAAACGTTGCATGGCTGAATGCTTTCAACATTCTGAAGCTCACAGACCCTGTAATTTGGAATCATTATAGCCTTGTTTAGTTTTAGAATTTATTTCCACAATGTACATATAATTTAAATATTTTCCCTAGGGAGAGAGGATAATTAAAAGTAGGTATGGAGTGACTCCCCTCTAGAGTAAAAACTTCAGAACTGCACTGTACATCAAATTCATATAGAAAGTAAACTCTCCTAAGTGGACTTTGCATCCAAGACTTCTGAACATTATGGAGGCATAATTTGATCTCTGAAACTGTGAAAGTCTTCTAAAGCAAGGACCAGATCTATATATCATTTATCTATCTATCATCTATCTATCTATCTATCTATCTATCTATCTATCTCTCTGTCTGTCTGCTTGTCTGTCTATATGTCTATCTGTCTGATCTATCTATCTATCTATCTGATCTATCTATCTATCTATCTATCTTTCTATCTCTCCGTCTATCTGTCTGATCTATCTATCTATCTATCTATCTATCTATCTATCTATCTATCTATCTATCTATCTATCTATCTACCTATCTATCTCTCTGTCTGTCTGCTTGTCTGTCTATATGTCTATCTGTCTGATCTATCTATCTATCTATCTGATCTATCTATCTATCTATCTATCTATCTATCTTTCTATCTCTCCGTCTATCTGTCTGATCTATCTATCTATCTATCTATCTATCTATCTATCTATCTATCTATCTATCTATCTATCTATCTACCTATCTATCTCTCTGTCTGTCTGCTTGTCTGTCTATATGTCTATCTGTCTGATCTATCTATCTATCTATCTGATCTATCTATCTATCTATCTATCTATCTATCTATCTATCTTTCTATCTCTCCGTCTATCTGTCTGATCTATCTATCTATCTATCTATCTATCTATCTATCTATCTCTCTATCTCTCTGTCTGTATATCTGTCTTTCTGTCTGATCTATCTATCTATCTATCTATCTATCTATCTGTCTGTCTGTCTGTCTGTCTGATCTATCTATCTATCTATCTATCTATCTATCTATCTATCTATCTATCTATCTATCTATCTATCTATCTACCTATCTATCTCTCTGTCTGTCTGCTTGTCTGTCTATATGTCTATCTGTCTGATCTATCTATCTATCTATCTATCTATCTGATCTATCTATCTATCTATCTATCTATCTTTCTATCTCTCCGTCTATCTGTCTGATCTATCTATCTATCTATCTATCTATCTATCTATCTATCTATCTATCTATCTATCTCTCTATCTCTCTGTCTGTATATCTGTCTTTCTGTCTGATCTATCTATCTATCTATCTATCTATCTATCTATCTGTCTGTCTGTCTGTCTGTCTGTCTGTCTGTCTGATCTATCTATCTATCTATCTATCTATCTATCGTACAGTGAGTAACACACAGTGAGAATATGCACACTCCCCATCTCCCCACCACATCTTTTAGTAAGAAAACAGCTCTACTAACATCCCATTTGTGAAAGAAGTGCTCGTTTAAATTGAATCCTAAATATCTGCATAACATGAGAGTGAAGATTCCTACAATTAGACAAATATATAGCTCAAGGTGCTTAGTCAACTACATTCATTGGAACATAACACGCTTAATCAATTTAGTTAAATAAAATATTTCAAAATAACGCAACGTTCCTTCTATGGCGACACATATATCAATTGGAACTATAGCGTATTTCACTACACCATTCTAAAATCTCTTATATTAATGGCATTGATACAAGTTATATTCTGTGTTTTATCCTTGCTCTGCAGTTTTCTCAAAACCGGCTTGAGCTATTTCTTATGAAAGCGTTATATATAATACTATATAAAATTCATTTCATGTAATTCCATTCTATCTTGAAAACAGGTTGCAGATGGTTCTTTCCTACAGATGGAATTAAGTGGCAAGGGTTTAGTAGACAATTACTTATCATTATTAATCAAATCTTACATAACAGGCATTTCATAGGCATTTAGCTTAGGCTATGACATAAAGTAATAATGATGTATGCAGATTTTGAGGTTTTCCTACAATACAATTTAATAAGAGTTCAATTCAGATTTGATTTGCACATAATGTACCCAACCATATGACACATTGCCAGGAAGAATAAATCAGGATAAATAGTGTATTCATGTAAGTGCATATTGGAACATTAAATGTAGTATTTATATATTGAAAAAGCAAAACAAAAGACATATCTTAAATAATTTCAGTCGTATTATTTTGTAAAAACGTTAACACAAAATAAATTCCCATCTTAAAATAATGATTTTTGACATATGATTTAGTAAACAATATAAAATGTAACATTTACAATTGAAAAAGAAAAAGTCCTGAGGGGCGGGGCCGGACCGCCGAGCTGGGCAGGCGCATGTAAGACCAGCTCCAGCAACTACAGACTAACTAAGCTATAAAATCGAGATTTACGACATAAAAACGTCCGGCGACGGTGGCCCTCACCGGGTGGAGAGCACTAAAACTAGGGCG